CCGTCCGCGACGTCCTGCAATCCGCCCAGTTCTTCTGCCACGTCATCGTGTAGCACGTCTGGACTGGTGCAGAAGGCATCTGCGATTTACTCGACGGGATTGGGCAGGCATTTTGTTTACGGACGAGTCGCGAGTCCACCTGGATAGTAGTGACGGCCGTTACAGAGTGTATCGTCGCGTTGGAGAACGTTTCCGTGACGCGTGTGTGGTACAACGACGTTCTTTCGGCGGAGGCAGCGTTATGATTTGGGGCGGCATCACAGCCAACGGAAGAACGCCTCTGGTGGTTGTTAACGGGAATTTTAACGCGCTACGTTACCGTGACGAGATCCTCCGGACCCACGTCGTTCCACTGTGCAAGGGCAGCAAGCTCACATTACGCTACAGCAGGACAACGCCAGGCCACACACAGCTCGTGTCGCTATGGACTTTCTGGCCCAGCAGAACGTTGACGTGTTGCCGTGGCCTGCTGTATCCCCCGATCGATCGCCCATTGAACACGTTTGGGATGAAATGAAGCGCATATTACGGGCATTACCTAATCAACCGGTGACGTTGGCTGATTTGGCTGCAGCGTTGGTACAGATCTGGAATGCCATCCCACAAGCATCCTTGAACCGTCTGATAGGCTCCATGCGTCGACGTTGCCAGGCTTGCATTCAGGTAAACGGTGGACATACGAGGTATTAACTTTGTGAACTCCGTATTGACCCCTACTGTGTTTACATCACTCCTGAGCGGAAAAGGATGTGGCAGCCTGATTTGTTTTGGTATATCTTGAGCACGTTCATGACTTTCACATTTTTTTGTTTCATCAGTAACCATTTTTTTATAGAAACGTGAAAGTTAATTTGAATAACCTTATTGTATTGAACGATCTCTGCAAAGGACCACAGCATAAGCGTCTTGTTTACAGAAGGCAGCCACCATAGGAAGTTGTCGGTCATCGCTTTAAACCAAAACCTCTTTTACACTAAGGATCCTACACAGAGAAGAAATCGTCACTATTTGGCGGTTTTTAATAATCCAATTGACAGACAATAAATCATGACCCCGGCACGACAGAGGTACCCCGACAAAGCACAGTTCTTGTATGCGCCACTTCGAACATGCTACCAACATACCGTATGGTTATTTACTCGTAAATTTAAAGCTTAACACTTTGAAATATCTGCGTCTGTNATGCGCCACTTCGAACATGCTACCAACATACCGTATGGTTATTTACTCGTAAATTTAAAGCTTAAAACTTTGAAATATCTGCGTCTGCGCACTGGCATATCATATTACCAATCAGAAGTCACGACACAACATATAGGGAGCGGTTCCCCCCATATAACATAATATTTGGGATACCGTTTGCAACAGAAAGTTCTCAAGAACGCATAGAAATGCATTCGATCATGTGACAATTGCCGTCTAATGTTTGAGAATATACTCGCTCTACATAGGCATGTTAAATGATGGGTCCCTGAGAACAGTACTCTTAAACTAAAGTTTGGGGATGATGAGGACAAAATCAATAGTCCGGCAAAGAAACAGAGGACAAATTTCTTCGCTCACGCGGATATCTTTAATACCGAAATGGAAAATGAAGACACAAAAGAGGATGATTATTTTACCAATGTGTGAAACCGGGCTAAATTAAAAAACGAAGAGAAATGGAGCGAAAGAGTAGACAAATACAAGGAAAAAAGGACGTTCGAAGGAGAAGCTGAAAGTAGAGCAGATAAAAAAAGATGACGATCTGATGGAATTCCTTAATCAATACGCACAGACACTCATCAGTATCTTTCAAATTAAAGGTGAGAATCTGCACACAAAAATCACAGAATCTGTGGAAAAGTATAGACGAAATTGATACGATATATTGCCTGCTGTACGCATGTCACTTTTGAAAACACAAACACAATTTCCAGGAGTACATGTATGCAGATGACGACGATGACGTATCAGATGCTGATGATGAATATGAATCTAACGAGGAAAACGCGTACTGAAGACGATCAGGATGAAGATGTACAGATACTTAACGTACAAACAATCATATCTTTACATTGACCAGCTTCAGAGTTTTGAAGATGGTTACACAAAACCATCGACATCGCGCCCGCTACTCGTAGGTTTAATGCCTACAACTTTGGAATATCTGCGTCTGCGCAGTGACGCATTAAATGACTAAGTCACGACACAGCATAAATGGGAACGATAAGGAGCCACCAAACCTCATTTCTTTAAAAGTTGTTCAACAGTACAGACATACACCAAGAAGATGAGGTACAGCTTTAGCGTCGGTGACCGTGTGCGCATTACATATTTGAGAAACATATTTACTCGCGAATATGTTGAAAGATGGACCGATAAAATATTTACGATAGAAAAATGATTCTTGAGACAATCCGTGCTAATCTACCGACTGAAAGACTACAACGATGATGAAATCACGGGTTCCTCTTATCAATCAGAACTTCAGAAAGTGGATCTTAGAGACAATGATATAAGGAAAATTGAAACAGAGGCAAAGGACGAAACAAACTATTGTACGTGAATGATTCACTAGCCAATTACATAATCATCTTGAAAAAATAGTTAAATACTAATGATATTGTTGATTTGTAAAGTATTGTATTCATATTATTTTCATTTTTTGTGTAATAGCATTTGAGTACTAGTATTTGTTCTGTTTGTCTGATAAAGCATTTGTAAATAAAATGCGTTGTACATACGTTTTGATTCTATAGTCGTCTCATAGCTAGTGAACGTATAGCGGGTGTGTGTAGGAGTGTAAATATGTTAATCCTTATGAGTGGGTATAATGTTGTCAATACAGACATGTTCATACTTGTGTTGGTTAAAGCTGAGCCGCCTAGGCGTCTATTATTTGTGATTTTTTTTATAAATTCGTTCCTAAAATAACCAAACTTAGATAAAGAAACTTAAAAAAAGTATATTTAACAGGTATACTATGTATCATTTCTTTATGTAACATGCATACACGCGCCTTTTCATATTGCAATCTGCACTTTTATACCCCGACATTTATCACGTATTGCTTTGGCTTGCTGGTAAGTGAAAATGCCAAAAAAGACACAATTATACAGGTGTATCAATATGCGTGATAAGTAACAACACGTTGCATACAGGGCATCAGGTATACAGGTACTCGATCAATAGGCGTTTAATCAATTAACGATCAGTGACGTAGATATGTCAGAGTCGAAAAGACCTTCTGTAGTTCATTTACATTTTTTTTCGAAGGTGCTTATTATACACAATAAATTAGCTACGTTCCTTTGCATTTTTTTAAAGTTACAAATAGAGAATTACACATGCGGCAAATGTGTTGTTATTCTATTCATACTGCATACAAAACAACCATTTCCTTTTACAGAAACACGCTGTCCCCATCAATTGCTGTTGAACTCACTCTAACGATAAAAATGTCAATACCTTTCAGTGTATTTTCAGAAAATATTTCAAAACCGAAAGTAATACGACCTCCCAGTTCGAAGAAAAGCCGCACCTGAAATGACATTAGATACTCTTTTGTCACGCGGTTTCGATCAAGCCCGGTACCCATCACTAAGACAACGCTACCACACGTACACAGGACATTGCAAACTTCAGTATGGCGTCTGCAGCAGTGGTTTGTGGTGGTTTGATTGCCCTGGGATTGTTCGTTTTGCAGGCGGTGGGGTTAGGCACACACTATTGGTATGTAGTAGAAGTGACAGGGATAAGTGAGATTAGTGCCGGCCTGTTCCAGATTTGTAGAGACAGTACCATTCTCGGCAGCAGTACCAGCCAGTGTTACAGTTACAATGACTACGTCACCTCAGCGACTATCGTTGACTGAAAGCATCCTCGAGTATTTATGTGAACTTTTAAAATTCGATTACACACTAAAATTATGTTGCATGATATGAAGCAAGTAATCCTATTGAATAACACGTTATTTTGTTCGCGGACATGTTGAAAAGTATGTATGACAAATTTTAAACTATGATTTTGCATTTAATTGAATTAAACATTTGTTTTTAAATAGTTTGCTTTTAGAATCGATAGAATAGTTTGAATCAAATTGTTCTCCAATGTCATTCAAAGTTAAATGTTGGACTGATCAAATGAATTATTCTCTTCATTTAATTGATAGAACTTTTATTTACAGTTATAAATTTACATTTTTCTGTGTTTGAGCTGATGAGGGTCATCATTATTTTCCTGAGTTCTGAGTAAGAGTACTGAGTTCTGCTTGTTCGAGATTGACTTAACATCCGAGGTCTATATATCTTGTATATTACTGACGTATCCAGGTCCAGAAAACCTCTACCTCTTGCACACCGAACATTTCAGTCTCAAAATATTCTCAAATAAATATTTATCATCACGCTGATTTCCATTCTTGTTTGGGTGTTATATTTGTCGTTGTTTTCTGTTTAAAAATGGAAGAAACACTTTCGACCTGGGTACGGTGAGTTTGCAAGGTTTATTGTTAAATCTTATTGGTTATTGTTTAAAATATTATTAACAGCCCTACTTCAAAAACTTGTTTTGACCTTGGATTCGCTATATCATATACATCTATATTCTAAAGCCAAACGTTGAAACATTTGTGTGATTCTTAGTAAATAATTAAAGCAGACATTGACATGTTTTTGAAAGCTATTCAAAATTTTAATGACAAATTTGACAAAAATAAAATAAAAATTAACATATCAGATCCAACTTAGATATGTTTCTCCCGTATTTAACGAGAATTTATTGCAAAGTCTTTAAAAAGTAAAATCAAAAAATATATGAGCTTATTATACGTGAATGTTTATATGATTAAACAATTTTCAGAGATTTTTTAGTCTGACATCTAAAGTTTTACTTTAAAATGGTCAGAGATTTTATTTATATTTTAACATCAACCGTTTTATGTTAAGTCTCTATTCTCTAGTGCTGTAGGGTAATGGTGGTTTGCGTAAGAAAATGAAAGTGAAAACCATGAGACTTACCTGTTCACGGGAATGTAACACAGATACCCATCCCATAGGTCGCATATGTCCGTGTTTAACTATTTATTTTTTCTTATCGTTGGTTATACATTAACGTAGATCAAAACGTTTTATCGTTCCAATGAATGATTTTGGCCGTTCAATCGGGAACCGCACTTTTCGTAAACGAGAAAATCCTTAAGATGTTCACATACCTCACGCTGATGTTGTTATGACAAGTAAGTGGTAGAAATTTGAAGTCTGATCGCATCACGGTTGATGAATTTTTACTGATTAATACTGCGTGGTTTTCTTCACGCTAGTTTTATATTGTCATCCGATTACAAATGATAAATGATAAATCGTGAAAGTGAACGTAAATTGATGCAAACAAGATGTTAAGAAAAATGCAAAAATATGCTCAGTTATACAAAATTGTCGAGAAAGGATGTTTTTGTTTAGAACACTTATAAAATGATATATAGTTTCTATGAATGGTTTGAGTCTCATCACAGGAACGACGTTATATACTTGTGGTTATTAGAGAAGGGGTTTGGTAACTCGCGATACACATATTACAATCGGCCATTCACGCCTGATTCTGGTGCCCGTTTGATGTATGTCCGGAAATCAGCCGAGTTGTGACGAGTGAGGTTAATCTATGATTTACAAAAACATAAAACTATGATATATAAATAAATATATATTGGTATAAGGCAATGAAAACAAAAAACAAAGAACTTAAAAAACATTTCATTTCATGACATAATGACTTTTTTTTTCTTTAAAACGCAAAGCAGATACCAGAAACAGTGTGCTTTTAAAAAAACCCACGACATCTTTATGATTAACAGTGAATCAAATTTATAACACGTCCATGTTTCCAAGATGTGGCTAAGGAATTATGACTAGACAAAGAAATATAATCTGATAAATCTGGATTGATTTGTGAGCTGATACTTTTTTTTTTTTACAGAGACCACGTCAGGCTCTCTCGCTTAGTGCATTGATAGGTATTTTTCCTATCAACATGTTTTATTCGTCCTTTTTATTTTTATGAAACTAAGAAAAGAAAATTGATAGTGAATAGCGGAATCTAATTTATGAATAAATTTCCCTTTTCTAAAAATGCACAACACAAAATAACAACCAACACATGCAAAGCTGGGTAAATGTAAGGCCATACTGATCTTGGAAACTTGATCAAATAAGTGAACAAGCACCACAATAATGTGAAAATTTACTTTAATAGATGCATTACGTATACCATTTAATAAAGGATGTATCTTTTATGGTGATCAAAACTCCATTGAAGTGAATAGCAAATAATGACAATAGTATGATTATTAATTGGTACATTTATAAAATAATTACCTAGCTGTTCATACGACATAAAACACAAACATACAAACAGTCAGATACGCAACAAATATTTATAAGGCTGGATGCCTACAGATATTCTCAATCACCTTAGCATTTATTAATACAATAAACGAACATAATGAGGCTCGGGAGTATGTTATAAAGTCTTTAATATATATATATATATTTTTAAATATGTCAAAAACTATTGGATGTTCACTGATGCAGATGTGCAGAACAATTGCATTTGATTAAAAAAAATTGGAGAAAGTTTACTTTTTGTCTTGAAAAACCTTGAACTTACATTGCACTCCAGTTTTTTCTTGGTCATTTGCGTCCCTAATGACTTCTATATTACATTTTCTATCTTTCTTTATCTTTACTGTTCGTCATCTTTCACTTTGTTATGTTCGTTGCTTTGACAGTAAATGTTAGTCTGTAGTGTTTGTAAATATCATAAAGGTTGGTTGTTCGATAAACCACAGGGCAGTTAGAATACAGTCTCAGAAAGTCTGGAAGCTTGTCTTACAGATATCAGTATCTGGATGAACGCCAACATGCCTAAACTTAATCAGGAAAAGACGGAACTAATCGTCTTTTTCCCAAAGTGTCAGCAAACAATGGCTCTCCAGCTCAAGGTTGGTGCCAGAACTATTGAGACTGTTCCAGCTGTTAAAAACCTAGGGGTATACTTTGACAGTTCTCTGAACATGGAGAAACAAGTGAACGCTATTGCCAAACTCTGTTACTACCAGATCAGGAGCATCGGCTGTATTCGGCAGTTTCTAACTACAGATGCATGCACGATTTAGGTGCATTCACTTGTTACCTCTCGGTTGGATTATGGTAACGCCCTGCTCTGTGGTATATCTGACAAACTAACTAGTCGTCTGCAGAGGGTCCAGAACACTGCAGCACGTACGATACAGTTACCTGTACGATACAGGTCGCAGTACAATATTCTGGTATACACATATAAGGCACTGAATGGAACAGCTCCTCAGTACCTACAGGAGCTTGTTACCTTGTATCAGCCGTCAAGATCACTGCGGTCTGAGGCAGAATATTTGTTGTGTGTCCCAAAATCTCGAACTGTGACCTACGGAAACAGATGCTTTGGGAGGGTTTCGGCTACGTTGTGGAATAGCTTACCATCTGCTATTAGGAAGTCAAATACCCTGGCCAAGTTCAAGAGGGACATAAAAACTCACCTCTTCACGTCTGCATTTTAAAATCTTTGCAAAGACGTCATGTAAATACCACCCTTTTATTTGTTTAATTATGTGCACATTGCTTGTTAAATGTATAAAAATGATTGCAAGCCTTTGTTGTTTGTTTTCACAATTTATAACCATTACTATTATCCATATGTTGTAAAGCGCCTTAGAGCAATTTTACATTATTTGTGAACTGTAAGATCGGGTTCCTTTCATGTGTGGAGTGGAATAAAATATTGTAATGTTGACTCTGTATACATTATATATGACTGCTTGTACCAAGGATAAGTCACGTGTTACATTTCTATTTACATAACGATTCTCATGCAATATTATTGATATTNTAATGTTGACTCTGTATACATTATATATGACTGCTTGTACCAAGGAAAAGTCACGTGTTAAGTTTCTATTTACATAACTATCCTCATGCAATATTATTGATATATAGCTAACCGCTTGTATAGTTATGTATGTTTCTATATGATACTGTCTCTGTTCTGTTTAAGGGACAAAAACATGTCCCATATGGAGCTAAATAAAGAGAAACATACACCAAAGCTTTTCACTCCTGCAACAATAATAGAATAGGCCGACAAGAGACCTATTATGTAATCCTGAAATCTTGAATAAATTTGTATTTGCTAACACACCCAATCGTCTAGTGCAGTGCGCAAAGGTATAGCCAAACGTCAGTCAAACAGTTGGGTTAACATCACTTTACATACGGAAAATATATACCTGGAAAATCATTGCCACGTGATATAATGGTTTATTATTGTACTGTGTTGTTACTATACACATGAGGACCTTATACAATGATAACGTTAGTGCAAAATGTAACACCCTCTTTTTTCAATGAAGTATTTTTATAATATTCATTTGCTTTTCGTTTTGTTATTCATTATAGTATATACTTACAAGAAAATTTCATTTTGAAAATATCAGTTATATAATTTTTTGTACTCTCTTAATATTTCCGAAGAAAGCGTGACGTATTGAAAGTGTTTAGTTCTGCAGCACTGCAGAGGAAAACATCAAAAACCATAAATGAATTGTATGCAATACATGGTATGGAAAGGAAGGTATGACGCCTACCGGTCCATAACTCATCTTCGAAATCCAAGGATACATTTTTGAATTTTCTCATGATAGAATCGAACGCTCTAACGCTAAGCTATTTGATCGTTTTTAGACATCATAGCTAAGCGATCGCATGGCTGAAACACAGTTGTACCTGTACATTGAATATAATCAAAGAGGAACGCAAAGATTTAAACTTGTATATTTTGACCTTACATTGCCGAACGATTCTCTATTATCTTTCTTCAAAGCATTACATTGAAATAACATATATTATTAATTCATTGGCAGTTTTCTAACTGTTTACCTGTATCATACACAAGTTGGTGTGCTCAGGGATTGTCATAAGAAAATCGAAGAAGATATATTTATAAGGAGTGTTGCCCTTGGATCCTGGAAACGATACAATGTATGTGTAAGAAAGAGGAGGTTTTAAGCTAGAAACTCGGACTTTGTGACAAGTTTTTTTCCCCATTTCAGTTAACTACTGCGCGATTGCAGGGCTCAGTATCATAGGCTGTATCCTACTGTTTTGCAATGTCATCATCGGTTTCGTGGGATGTGCTAGCACCAGACCAGGGCGTCCTATTCAAAACCAGGGCGGCATTTTGTTCATTTCGGGTAAATATGATCGATCATTTAAAGCATTATAATCTTTCCAAAGTAAGCATGTTCTACCGTTCAAACCATTTTCTATGCACGCAATAATATGGGATAGTCAAAATTCTGGCTGACAGCTTGTTATGTGCATGTTAATTTGACCGGCCGTCCAAAACTAGACTGACATGTATTTATCTGCAGGTAAATATTTCAAACTGTAGTCCTTTTAAGATGCTTTCATTCAGCTTATTATGTGCGACCGTCCAAAACACATTTGGTAGCTGTTCTTGTGCAGGTCATATGCCCTTTCTTTTTGTATGTAGCAATACACGGCCATTCGCAGTGAACACGAGTAAAGATTATATTTAACTGAGGAAATATTAGCGAAACCCAAAGACAAAAGCAGTTGACGTAACTTGTCTAATCCATAAATAAGAATGTAGGTCATATTAACATAAAATAGCATAAAGGGGGCCTAATCATTACATAAGCTAAAATATTATGTAGTTTTGAATTTGGTCATGCAGAAAACCTTGAAACCCCTGGCATCACTCATTAGTCTTGAGAATCCTAATAAATGCAGATATAAAAGAAACTCTTGATTGGCGAATCTCCTCGATCATGTCAGCTCCCTCACCAGGGAACGTAATTGTTTTAATCGGGGAAAAAACACCTGACCATCATGAAATATTTCCTCATCGATTTCGATTTATGTTTTAACGACCACAAAGAGTATGTGGGCAACACCACCTAGTATTTGTTCTACTAGCATTGTGATGAGTGATGATGGAAAATTATAATTTTTTATTTACAGCAATAGGTGCTTGTATCTGCGTTTACCATTTCTCCGAGACGTATTTTACTAGTTCGTTTTATAGCAAGTTGAAATGAAATGTGTCGAAAGCCCGATTGACTGACAAATGTTGTCTTTATCGCACATTAACGGATAGAACTACACATTGTCGGTTCTGTCCACTGAAAAAATGTCGCCGATATTCTCTTGCAGTCATGCATTACATGTCAATTACAATCTGTAAGGTTGTTATAGCTGGGCTAGATTGAGTATTGTATTACGTAACACGTTTTATCTATAGGTGCGTTATCACCTATGCATTCAACGCCCACAATCTTTAAACATTTAAAGGGACATTGCAAACTAATACTTGAGTACGCGGATGGATGATTTTCATTATTTTTTGGTAAAGATACCAAAACCATTCGTCAGCTGTTTTCTATAGCAATGACGTCACAGGTGAAATTCTTTGTTAGCATAAAGGTCAATTGTACAGTTCAACAGGTATCAGTGTTCACTTGGCTACAGACCATAGCCTGGACGTCCTTTAATGACCATATCTTTTCGAAGGACGTAAATCACTAAGAAACCAAACCATTCTAACGAGATGTTTTAACGAGATATATATATTTTTTAACGGAAACAATGAAAATGTAAAAGTTAAAAAAAAACCGTTGAATATATTTTATCAAAATCAGAACACGATACTTCCATCCACGCAATGATCTTTGGTTATGATCTTGAGGGGACGGTCGCTTTTAAACGTTTCCCTCCACTTTTCTTTTCTCTTCTTTGTGATGTTTCCTGAATAGAACTCTGCTGTGGCCATATCTATTAAATGCTTAACTTTGACTGTACAAAAATGTAGGCATGTAGATCGATCAGAGAGAAATGTTCTGAAGATGCATATGTAACCGTTACAATATATTGCTGCTTTTACTTCTCTCTCTCTTTTTTACCTAAATATATATATATATATATGACCTTAACCTTTGTCCTATGACCTTGACCGTGTTCCTGTGTGAAGTCGTCGATGCCCTCTATTCTATAATGAATAATGATAGTATTGGTTAAAGTGAAGCAAAAATAAATATTAATGTACTGAATATCACATGTTGAATTTTGACCAAAACTGTGACCTTGAATGATGACCAAGGTCATTTCTTATTGATTACTTTTAAAGCACAATATTAGGGCTAATGACAATGCAGCATCAAACATCAAGACTTCATGGCGTTTGGCCCTCGGGGAGTACACTTTTTTAAACATAACTCTAAGTTGACAGTTGAATTTGCACTGATGACAAACATGGTATACCAGAACTATAAAATACCAAATGGTGAAATATTTACATCAAAGGTTTTTAGAGATAAAGCGGTTTGAAAATTGTCCAATAAGGGACCATTGTGGCCATCTTGAACGTTAAAGGTAATTCCTGTCCATTTACTTTTTAGACATGAAATCAGGCTAGTGGCAGACTAAATATTAAGACTAATTACCGCCTGGTGCACGAAGAATAGGTACTAAATTATCACATCATAAAGACCAATTAAAAATGTGGTATACCTTGAAGTATATAGAAATTGTTTTGAGATTTTCATTTTTCTATTATACCATCGCGTGACCTTGTAATTGACATATTTTCTTATAACACGTAATGGGTAAAAATTAGCCCCGACCAAGATATTTACAATATCATGTTTACAAATCAATGAACGGTTTTGGAGTTAACATTACTGTTACATTTTCTAATATTGTTTTATTTATAAATCTGTGCCCTTAACCTTTGACTTTAAGGATAATTATTCATGCGGTTACTAATTATCATACTGTTTTTATCTTCCTCAGCCGGCTGCACTATCGCCGCAGTGGTTTGGTTTTACATCACTCAATACCATGACACGCTTACATCGCTGTCATCGACCTCGCTAAATATCAAGCTTGGCTATTCCTTCTACCTAGGCGCCGTTGCGGGTGGAGGCACATTTATTGCCGCTATAACCATGTGTGTGACAGCTAATAAAATGGACGTCCCAGTTGCACAACAGGGACCCACGGGATATCCACAACCAGGATTTCCGCAACCAGGATACCCACAGTCTGGAAACCCACAACCAGGATACCCACAGCATGTAAACCCACAACCAGGATACCCACAGCATGGAAACCCACATCCAGGATACCCACAGCCTGGACACTCACAACCAGGATACCCACAGCCTGGACACTCACAACCAGGATACCCACAGCATGGAAACCCACAACCAGGATACACACAGCCTGGACACTCACAACCAGGATACCCACAGCATGGAAACCCACAACCAGGATACCCACAGCCTGGAAACCCACAACCAGGATACCCACAGCATGGAAACCCACAACCAGGATACCCACAGCCTGGAAACCCGTAAACCGAAGTCGGATATGAGGAAACAGTTTTATAACTACATCTATCACCATTCTATAGTGACACTTTACCAATAGTGGCTTACAGTTAAAAAAAGTACGATACTTACGCTTTAACACATGACCTTGCTGTTTTAATGCAATTTTTGAAAACTTTAGAAGGTTGTTTTCTTATTTCTGTTTGATTTTTGTGTGAAAATTTCCACATTTGGACTATTTTGACTAGTCCACATTAGATTCTTTAAAACAACATCTAGGTATTCATACCAACGTGCTGATGCTTCCATGTAAACAATACTAGCGACATTGTTGCACAATGTGTCATAATATCTTCGCATGCATATTAAGCGAAATTAGTCGGAAACAGTATATTTTGATGGTGCTTTATATTTTATAGATAGTAACACTGCTGATATACGTAACATGTTTACGATAAAATGCATAAACAAATAGGTCAACAATTATTGATTAACAAATGTAGGATTAGATCAAACCGGTTTTTTATTCATTTTTTTCTCTCACAAAAAAGGTGTTTTATTGATATAAAGAGAAAGTAGGACCTACAAGTTATAAAAAAGCAAATGATGAAACAGTCTATTAAAAAACAATTGCAATGAGTGCTGTATTTAGTTTGAGTTATATCTAGTACGCTTTTGCTTGTCTAGTATTAATGTTCCTTCCTTTACTTTATTTAATATTTTAATATATATTGTATACTATTTCAATGTTTATGATATTTTCACTGCAAATATGTGATAACTTTGTGCTGTTAAGGAATTTTATGTGATATGGAAGTGTTAAATTCCAGTTAAACTGTATTAAGCTTGAACAATTTAAAGGTAAGAATAATTATGAAAACAAGACTTTCTTGATTTACGTACCGTGCGACGCTATTCATTTGGGTATCATTTTCAAAAGTCTGTTTTATCAAAACTAATGAGAGTTGGGAGAAGAAATTTAATCAGAACCCTCGTTGACTCTAACATATTTCAACTATGCATATTTTCTGTCGATATTGATCGTGTATACCCAAATATTCGCCAAAATAGCGGAAGTGTCTCTTCCAGGGTACAGTAACGCCAGTTCAACGGCCTACGTAACTCTGATGGTATTTCGCGTTCTTTTTATAGAACCACGCGCCCGAAATATCAAAATGTGATAAAAAATGTAAAGTGGATAGTATCTTTTTAAGTAAAATGAACAAACTTTTTTGGAACTGATAGTGTAGTTTTGTATAAAGAACATTGATATTTAACTAAAAAGTGTCCCGATTTGGGTACAGTGACGTTAGATAACCTGTGTGCCGATATTACATTGTGTACCCACGAATATCAGCTGCAGTGTTACTCTCGATAGAGCGTATCCATGGAGATAATTACCCGGAAAATTATACCTAATTGTTTTTGTTTTTATTAAGTTTTTATTCAATATTAAATAAATATTGCAATTACAGTTGAAACTGTTTAGTTTTTATCAAGACAGGAAATACTTATACCGGCAAATATATGCTGCCGGTATCAAAAAAATCATGCATTTTTTGCATATTCTTCCAATTTCGTTCTGTTGTATATGTTGTGAAAACATATACGCACCCACAGGGACTTGACACATTCCTATGACCCAGAATGAAAGGTATTTTTTTCCATTCTGGGTCATAGGAGCGTGTCAAGTCCCTGTGTACGCAATAGCATGTGAATATGCTCAACGCAACAGTCTAATATGGCAATTAATTGATATAGATATATATGTATGTGGCTTGAAACATTTGCAAATATATTAAACACGTATACATTTGCATGTAAACGTTACATCTTACATTTCCATATACGTGTATACGTAACCGTAAGTTGACAATGCGCACAAACAACAAGTCTCCGAAAAAGATACAAAGTTGTACACTGCTTTTGATATCAAGGACGACATCGACCTCAAACGTTCTATCAACCAATCGACGAGCCAGATACAGTGAGTGACACGCTGAAACAACCGTTCGGTTTATAGGCGTGTTCTTTTTGAACACAGCTTGTTGACGCCGTAACAATTTTGATTGTAATAGTGAAATAATTAGGGTGATGTTTTTAAAATGTTATTGTATATTGTGAAAAGACGAATATCAGAAAAGAGAATGTAACAATTCAAAAAAAATTAAACTGACATTTATATGTATATATAATTATGTTAGCATATATTTCCATCAGTTGCATTAAAAAGATGGGCATAGAAAATTGTACAACTGATTTTGTTTATATTTTTTTGTGGGGTTTGGGGGAATGTCAGAACTCGACTATATTATCAAGAAAAATACAAAAAAACATTCTCTTTTCTTTCCAATAACACTTAAAATACTGTACTGTATAAATCAAGTTCCTTAGCAAATTGTATAACTGAATTATTCTCACTTTAATTATACACTTGAAATTTTTACTGTTATTGAATTTTACAGATTTTGTGTTTATCTACTTCTTTTTTGTTGGGGAAGAGGTCGATATTTTAAAATGTCAGAATTCAACTGTGATATCAAGAAAATTTAAACATAACTCTTCTTTTCAGAATAGTTCTGAAAAGAAGTCAATCAACTTTATAAAATTTAGCATTCAGAGTACCAATGCCAGTATTATAACCTTTTTTGAATTATCAAAACTTTAGATTTAAATGGTTTTAACACTTAAGTGTATTTCTTTGTTTTAACTATCATTCATTATAATGCTGTTTATTTTCCTGTGTTAAGCTGAGCCACACCTGTGTGCTGGTCACCATGCAGTGGCACCTATCTCTCACCTGTATTGATAAGCCTCGAGGGTCCCAGTCCCCACACAGGTGACACCCTGTGTATTATATTAACCTGGATAGACATATAGGAACCATGTATTACAGATAACATGATGTTGTAAAAAGTTTTGATAAATTTTAGGGGGGATGAATATTTAAGGGGGGGGGGGATAAGTATTTAATGCATTAAATATTCATCCGGATGAGTATTTAATGCATAAAATATCCATCCAGATGAATATTTTATGGGGACGGAAATTTTATAGGACACCGGCAAATATATGCTGCCGGTATAAAATAAATCATGCATTTATTGCATATTCTTACAATTTCGTTCTGTTGTATATGTTGTGTATGTATCATGCTAATACATATACACAATAGCATGTGGATATGCTCGAAACAGTCTAATATGGCAATTAATTGATATAGATATATATGTATGTGGCTTGAAACATTTACAAATATATTTAACACGTATACATTTAAGCATTGAACTGCTTTTGTATGATATTTATGATCTATTTGAATGACACAGCTTTGCAAGCAAACAACATTTGTTCGCTTACAAAGCTGTGTCATTCAAATAGATCATAAATATCATACAAAAACAGTTCAATACTTATATTTACGTTTTCTCTGCCTCTTATGTTCTTTTTTAACTTATAATTTATAATTAAAATTAAAAATGCCCGCCTTATCGACAGTCCACACAATTTCGTTCAATAGTTTGAACAGCGTATTGTCGCGTGCTGATTGGCAAACAAAGTAGTACTTTGACATTTTAACAAACACTTCAAATTTATTCCACAATTTAGTATCAATACAATTGCGTATGATATGTCTATAGGGTGATTCCAGTTTTTCAATAGAAATCTGAGCTGAAAGTTAGATTTGAAATTGTTTCGATTTTCCCCCGGAACAAATTTCGCGCATGGATAAATACAGTGAACACCGTGAATGGGACCTTGACCTCCACGAGGGAGTTATTTTTGGAAGTTAATTCGAACTTTTCTCTTTGCTCATTTTGTGAAGAATCCAGGCGTGAATGTATTTGTTGATTGTATGGGAACCCGACAACAGTCGGTAGATTCTATAACAGCATCGTTATTTGACATGTCGTCTGAAACTGAGGAACCGTGGATCCGAGACGCGTGAAACTGATAGCGTTTGAAGTGAGTGATCTTGCGACGGAGCACAGGTTCGTTACAAATGTCTGAAATGACGAATGTTTATGTGTGCTGTGACTCATATCAGTAGGTCTGTAACATATGTGTCAGTAGGTCTATAGAATATGTGTATTTCAGACATTTATAACGAACCCCTGTTGATCAGTGCAGTGTAACAGACGATATTTCTGATAAATTGCATGAGCGTTAAAATTGTTTCCATTGCCGGCATTGGTGATTTCAACCGATGTGCATTTTGTACGATATTGCAGACCTTGGTCTTGTTTTCGTTGTAATAAAAGTGTTTTTTATCTTATTTTTTATTTTGCACATAAATTTACAATGACATAATCAAATCTCACAATGCCAAGCGATATTTCAGCAGCCGTCATGTTTATTTACATTAGATATTGTAGTTCCGGTCAGTGTTGTAATTAATACGCTAAGAATTGTGTCTCGTGCGGCATGGTAATTATGTCTCGTGCGGCATGGTAATTATGTCTCGTGCGGCATGGTAATTAAAGTCCCATCAACGACACAGCTTTCAAAGAGGCTATATAGTGACAATGCCATTCAAATGTAAATATTTGCATGTAAACGTTACAAATATCAAGCGAATGAGTTGTCGAATCTTCCACCGTTCTATGATATTATTTGTCAGTGCAGCGGCCGGTATGGACAGCTTTCAAGCATTTGTAATGTTCTTAATTTTGCCCTCTTGTAATCCTAAATATCATTACAGTTCACGAAAATGTGTATAAGTACACATTCAACGACACATTCAAGTCATGACACAGGGTTTGAAACATGTACATGCAATCCATATACGTGTATGCGTAATCTTAAGTTGACAATGCGTACAAAAAATAAGTTTACGAAAAAAAACACAATGTTGTACACTTTGAAATCAAAGACGACACCGAACTCGAACGTTCTATCGACCAATGGACGAGCCAGATGCAATGAGTGACACGCTGAAACAACCGTTCGGTTTGTGGGCGTGTTCTTTTTGAACACGGCTTGTTGACGCCGAGACGATATTGTTTTTTTTTAATATATATGCACTAGGTCAGCATGTTTACTTGTATAAAGAATACGTGTACGGTCGAGCGAATGCGATTGCACAAGTATTTCCAATACTCACGCCACCCTGGTTGTCGTATACACACGCACCCGTAACCTTCCCACCTCACTGTGCACTTTGCTGTCGTCTGCTGTCAAGACATAAGGTGGTAGACTATATATATGCTGGTGGATAGATAACCTTCATAATAACTCATCAGCATGGAATTAAATATGAAGTATATTTTGTTTAGTTATTTGTAATGGAGATATGCACATATAGAAAACGTAATGTATTGAAATGGCCCATTTAGGATTTTAAAAAAGAAGATTATTATGGTGGGTAAACTACTATACCTGTAATACAATGATATACTTTAAGTTGCTATATATTATTAATGTCTATCTGTAGAAACTGATTTCAAATATTACGATATTGCTATTCAAAGCACCCTACAAGGAATTCCTTAAGCTGTTTAATGGAAATATATAGAACGGAAATATAAATAATAGGGTATCTTTCGTTAAATATAAATCATTTAAGCTAGGTCGAAGTAACGTGTGTCTGTCTCAGCATAATATCGATGATTCATGTAGATAAAATGTTAGACAAAGCTGAACACAAAATTTAATTGCCCCCTCTAAATGTTATTTATACAGATTTGTGTTGTAAATGATGTTCTCTTACAATTCTACTTAAGAAAAGATAAACATGTTTCAAAACTGCCCATGTCCTCACATTGATTTACTGTTGAGACAGTATAAACGGATTTAACCAACTCAGCTACCTGATAAGCAATATTTCCCGGGCTCGTTTTGATTACAGATATTCCAAAATGAAATAAAGGAGAAATATGGTAAACAACAGTGGAATTATCTAGTAGATTGTTTGCGATTCTATAGATAACCTTTTCCCTTCTTTATCTCATCCTCGATATCCAGGGGTTATGCTTGATTTCGCTCTCTGTACCCCTGGAATATGTCATAGCAAAATCGAAGGCTCGCGATATCTATTTGATTGGTGTCAGGTAAAAAAACATGACCAATCACTAGACTGATACTTGTCCTTTGAAGATAACAGAGGAGGGCGCCCGACTTTAAAGCCAATAAAGTTTACCGTTACGCGACCGCGATATTCTTTAATGTACTTTATAGGATCTAGCCTTCTTGTCTTATTCACAAGACGGTGCACACTGAGCCTTCCATTTTGCTATGACATATTCCAGGGGTGCAGCGAGCGACAGTGAGCGTAACCCTTGGATATCGAGGATGTCTTAATCTATGTTATCCGCCATCTTGGATTGTGGAGGGATTTTCAGAGGGTTAATCAATAGACTAATGCATTCAAAATGACGACCAATTAAGGATATACTCTTTTGAGGTTTCAACCACGTTCAAGTCTCGTTTTGATCTGGTGTAATAGGATTTGTAATATTAAACAAATTAGGATCAAGTTTATTAGCAAACATGCATTTGAAAAATATATCAAAAAACTATATGTATGTAGTTTTTAGAACTTTTTTTAACAAGAATGCCAATTCGGCGGCCATTTCGAAAATGTGTATTAATGTGTATTTCTTGGTCTTCAAAAAAGGCAAAATATCACCTTTTTTGACACTAGATTGATCACTTAAGTTGTCATTGTGTCGCCATTTTTAATTGTAGCAGTTTCAATTTTGCTGTACAACTTTATAATGTTTAATATGATAAAAATAATATGCAACAAACTGGAAAATTTTACATTATTGATATTTTTTTTACATGTTTAGTGTAACTGAAGCACTTTTGATTTTTGACTCCGAAAAAGGTAAAAGAAAATAACACAAATGATAATGGGACAAAAAAAAGAAGCACACCGACCCCCCATTTTTGTGGATGTTTTAGAAAGAGAAACACATTTTCTTTTAATTCATTAAATATTAAAAAAAGTTTAATAGCAGAACTTTTTATATCAAGCGTTTAATCTGCAAAAAAATGGTAAAAAATGAGTATTTTTTCATTAAAAAATAGGGGGTAGGGGTAACTAAAATCGGCTTTCTGAGTTAAAAGAATAAGATTAAGAAATTTTACTTCCATAATTTAAAAGAAAATAATATTTTCATCAATTCTACAAACATTCATACATATCTGATAACACAGTTGGAAGAAATTGTTTGAATTTGTTCTGCAAATGGTCAAAACCAAAAAAATCACCTAAAATCACATGTTGTGTTAAATTGGTATCTTTGACCGATCATAGCCCAAAAACGAACACACCGACATATATTTTCTTTTGCATTTTCTACTATGCACTTATCTCCTTTTTCCAAAAATCCATATAAGAAAAAAAGTTTAATACAGGAAATGTTTGACTTCTCAGAGGTGTACATCCTCAAAGACATTTACATAATTTGTTTATTGAAAATGGTGCCAATTATGTTGCGTGTTATGTAATAAAATGTATTGTGTTATTGTGGTGATCGATGATGATTTCATGTTGTTTATTGATCGTTCCTCTGTGCTATCTTTTAATTCTTTGTTGTCATGTTCCGTTACAGTATTAATCGTACACATGTGCTGTATTTTAATCCTTTGTTGTCATGTTCCGCTACAGTATTAATCGTACACATGTGCTGTATTTTAATCCTTTGTTGTCATGTTCCGCTATAGTTGTTTAGGGTCATATACCATGGACATGTTATGGCACACTGTGTGGTACCAGAACGACAGAGGACACGGTGTAGTGTCATGGTAACATAACATTACAATTTTACAATTAACCAATCGTATAAGTGTTAAACTGATATTACAGATTGCTCAGACCATAAATGAATATAGTACATTAATACTAAAACACAATTATGCATTCCTTATGAATTGAAGGAAGTTGCCATATCAGTCATAATGAAACCAACAAAAAGTATTACATCATTTTTTTTTTTATTCATAGCGACAATCTGAAAATTGTCGGTCATTACTCTTTTGTCAAAAACGAGTTAGTATTCCTTTTCTTCTGGCTTTGTGAGGATGTGGCAGCCTGATTTGTTTCGGCATATCTTGAGCTTGTTGATGACTTTCACATTTTTTTGTTTCATCAGTAACCATTTTTTTTGTAAAAACGTCAAGGTTAATTTGAATAACCTTATTGTATTGAACGATCTCTGCAAAGGACCACAGCATAAGCGTCTTGTTTACAGAAGGCAGCCACCATAGGAAGTTGTCGGTCATCGCTTTAAACCAAAACCTCTTTTACACTAAGGATCCTACACAGAGAAGAAATCGTCACTATTTGGCGGTTTTTAATAATCCAATTGACAGACAATCAATCATGACCCTGGCACGACAGAGGTACCCCGACAAAGCACAGTTCTTTTATGCGCCACTTCGAACATGCTACCAACATACCGTATGGTTATTTACTCGTAAATTTAAAGCTTAAAACTTTGAAATATCTGCGTCTGCGCACTGGCATATCATATTACCAATCAGAAGTCACGACACAACATATAGGGAGCGGTTCCCCCCATATAACATAATATTTGGGATACCGTTTGCAACAGAAAGTTCTCAAGAACCCATAGAAATGCATTCGATCATGTGACAATTGCCGTCTAATGTTTGAGAATATACTCGCTCTACATAGGCATGTTAAATGATGAGTCCCTGAAAACAGTACTCTTAAATTGAAGCTGAGGGATGATGAGGACAAAATCAATAGTCCGGCAAAGAAACAGAGGACAAATTTCTTCGCTCACGCGGATATCTTTGATACCGAAATGGAAAATGAAGACACAAAAGAGGATGATTATTTTACCAAGATGTGCAACCGGGCTAACTTAAATATCGAAGAGAAATGGAGCGAAAGAGTAGACAAATACAAGGAAAAAAGGACGTTCGAAGGAGAAGCTGAAAGTAGAGCAGATAAAAAAAGATGACGATCTGATGGAATTCCTTAATCAATACGCACAGACACTAATCAGTATCTTTCAAATTAAAGGTGAGAATCTGCACACAAAAATCACGGAATCTGTGGAAAAGTATAGACGAAATTGTTACGATATATTGCCTACTGTACGCATGTTTCCTTTGAACATGTATGCAGATGACGACGATGACGTATCAGATGCTGATGATGAATATGAATCCGACGAGGAAAACGTTGCAGAAGACGACGAGGAAAATGGGGACAAATAAAAGTAAGACATGCTTACACATTCTGCCATAAGTGTGAATACGTCTAAGAAGTACACAACAGGATTATTTGAAGGACANTACAATGCTTAAACAGGAAACCGACGAACAGATGACCAGTGGTCGGCTGACCTCATGGATTGATCAAGTTTTTCGAAATACAATGACGGATATACATATGCACTGGTTGTCATCGAGGTGTTCTCAAAATGTCTGTTGTTGAGACCGCTAAAAGACAAGAAAGGTAATTCGGTGGCCACTACATTTAGAACTATATTCGCCGAGGGGCGCCAACCTAGCAGGATAAGAACGGATAAGGGCAAGGAATTTAGAGCAAAACTTGTCCAGTCCTTGTTTCGCACACGAAATATAAGGCATATATATGCATACTAAGAGGTCAAGGTCAGCACCATCGAGCGCGTACTGAAGACGATCAGGATGAAGATGTACAGATACTTAACGTACAAACAATCATATCTTTACATTGACTAGCTGCAGAGTTTTGCAGACGGTTACACAAAACCATCTACATCGCGCAAAACTACAACGATGATGAAATCATGGGTTCCTCTTATTATTTTCAATTTTTTGCGTCATAGCATTCGAGTACTAGTATTTGTTCTGTTTGTCTGATATAGCATTTGTAAATAAAATGCGTTGTACATACGTTTTGATTCTATAGTCGTCTCATAGCTAGTGAACTGTATAGCGGGTGTGTGTAGGAGTGTACACATGTTAATCCTTATGAGTGGGTATAATGTTGTCAATACAGACATGTTCATACTTGTGTTGGGTAAAAGCTGAGCCGCCTAGGCGTCTATTTTTGTGAAGCAATGTCATGTACAGACATAGGCTTCTATCTTCAAGTTCCTTCTGTTATTTAGTTAGTTAAATATGATAAGGTATTCAATTATTTTCATAAATTCGTTCCTAAAATAACCAAACTTAGAGAAAGAAACTTGAAAAATATATTTAACAGGTATACTATGTATCATTTCATTATTTAACATGCATATACGCTCCTTTTGATATTGCAATTTGTGCATTTTTTATACAACGACATTTATCACGTATTGCTTTGGGTTTCTGGTGTGTGAAAATGCCAATAAAGACATAGTTATACAGGTGTATTAATATGCCTGATAAGTGACAACACGTTACATACAGGGCATCAGGTATACAGGTACTCGATCAATAGGCGTTAAATCAATATACGATCAGTGACGTAGATATGTCGGAGTCGAAAAGACCTTCTGTAGTTCGTTTACATTTTTTTGTTCGACGGTGCTTATACACAATACATTAGCTACGTCCCTTTGCATTTGTTTTACAAAGACAGAATTTCACATGCGGCAAAGGTGATTCAAGGCTTATTATATTCCAATTGAAATTAGTCAAACACTGAAAGTAGGGAAACAGTTGATACTTTTGCCTTCAATAATGTAGGCCTACTACATAGGCCTGTTAAACAGACTAAACCTTATGATGTTGTTATTCTATTCATACTTCATACAAAACAACCATTTCCTTTTACAGAAACACGCTGTCCATCAATTGCTGTTGAACTCACTCTAACGATAAAAATGTCAATACCTTTCTGTGTCTTTTCAGAAAATATTTCAAAACCGAAAGTAATAGGACCTCCAAACTCGAAGTAAAGTCGCACCTGAAATGACATTAGATACTCTTTTGTCACCTGGTTTCGATCAAGCCCGGTAACCACCACTAAGACAACGCTACCACACGTACACAGGACATTGCAAACTTCATTATGACGTCTGCAGCAGTGGTTTGTGGTGGTTTGATTGCCCTGGGATTGTTCGTTTTGCAGGCGGTGGGGGTAGGCACACACTATTGGTATGTACTAGAAGTGATAGATATAAGTATGATTAGTGCCGGCCTGTTCCAGATTTGTAGAGACAGTACCATTCTCGGCAGCAGTACCAGCCAGTGTTACAGTTACAAGAACTACGTCACCTCAGCGACTCTCGTTGACTGTAAGCATCCTCGAGTATTCGACTTTTAAAATTCGATTACACACTAAAATTATGTTGCATGATATGAAGCAAGTAATCCCATTGAATAACACGTTATTTTGTTCGCGGACAAGTTGAAAAGTATATATGACAAATTTTAAACTATGATTTTGTATTTAATTGAATTAATCATTTGTTTTAAAATAGTTAGCTTTTAGAATCGATAGAATAGTTTGAATCAAATTGTTCTCCAATGTCATTCAAAGTTAAATGTTGGACTGATCAAATGAATTATTCTCTTCATTTAAATTATAGAACTTTTATTTACAGTTATAAATTTACATTTTTCTGTGTCTGAGCTGATGAGGGTCATCATTACTTTCCTGAGTTCTGAGTAAGGGTATTGAGTTCTGCTTGTTCGAGATTGACTTAACATCCGAGGTCTATATTTCTTGTATATTACTGACGAATCCAGGTCCAGAAAACCTCTACCTCTTGCACACCGAACATTTCAGTCTCAAAATATTGTCAAATAAATATTTATCATCACGCTGATTTCCATTCTTGTTTGGGTGTTATATTTGTCGTTGTTTTCTGTTTAAAAATGGAAGAAACACTTTCGACCTGGGTACGGTGAGTTTGCAAGGTTTATTGTTAAATCTTATTGGTTATTGTTTAAAATATTATTAATAGCCCTACTTCAAAAAACTTGTTTTGACCTTGGATTCGCTATATCATATATACATCTATATTCTAAAGCCAAACGTTGAAACATTTGTGTGATTCTTAGTAAATAAGTAAAGCAGACATTGACATGTTTTTGAAAGCTATTCAAAATTTTAATGACACATTTGACAAAAATAAAATAAAAATTAACATATCAGATCCGACTTAGATATGTTTCTCCCGTCTTTAACGAAAATTCATTGCAAAGTCTTTCAAAAATAAAATTAAAAAATATATGAGCTTATTATACGTGAATGTTTATATGATTAAACAATTTTCAGAGATTTTTTAGTCTGACATCTAAAGTTTTATTTTAAAATGGTCAGAGATTTTATTTATATTTTAACATCAACCGTTATATGTTAAGTCTCCATTCTCTAGTGCTGTAGGGTAATGGTGGTTTGCGTAAGAAAATGAAAGTGAAAACCATGCGACTTACCTGTTCACGGGAATGTTACACAGATACCCATCCCATAGGTCGCATATGGCCGTGTTTAACTATTTATTTTTTCTTATCGTTGGTTATACATTAACGTAGATCAAAACGTTTTATCGTTCCAATGAATGATTTTGGCCGTTCAATCGGGAACCGCACTTTCCGTAAACGAGAAAATCCTTAACATGTTCACATACCTCACGCTGATGTTGTTATGACAAGTAAGTGGTAGGAATTTGAGGTCTGATCGCATCACGGTTGATGAATTTTTACTGATTAAAACTGCGTCGTTTTCTTCCCGCTAGTTTTATATTGTCATCCGATTACAAATGATAAATGATAAATCGTGAAAGTGAACGTAAATTGATGCAAACAAGATGTTAAGAAAAATGCAAAAATATGCTCAGTTATACAAAATTATCGAGAAAGGATGTTTTTGTTTAGAACACTTATAAAATGATATATAGTTCCTGTGAATGGTTTGAGTCCCATCACAGGAACGACGTTATATACTTGTGGTTATTAGAGAAGGGGTTTGGTAACTCGCGATACACATATTACAATCGGCCATTCATGCCTGAGTCTGGTGCCCGTTTGATGTATGTCCGGAAATCAGCCGAGTTGTGACGAGTGAGGTTAATCTATGATTTACAAAAACACAAAATTATGATATATAGATAAATATATATTGGTATAAGGCGATGAAAACAAAAAACAAAGAACTTAAAAAACATTTCATGACATAATGACTTTTTTCTCTCTTTAAAACGCAAAGCAGATACCAGAAACAGTGTGCTATTTAAAAAAAAAACCGACATCTTTATGATGAACAGTGAATCAAATTTATAACACGTCCATGTTTCCAAGATGTGGCTAAGGAATTATGGCTAGACAAAGAAATATAATCTGATAAATCTGGATTGATTTGTGAGCTGATACTTTTATTTTTACAGAGACCACGTCAGGCTCTCTCGTTTGGTGCATTGATAGGTATTTTTCCTATCAACATGTTTTATTCGTCCTTTTTATTTTTATGAAACTAAGAAAAGAAAAATAATTGATAGTGAATAGCGGAATCTAATTTATGAATAAATTTCCCTTTTCTAAAAATGCACAACACAAAATAACAACCAACACATTCAAAGCTGGGTAAATGTAAGGCCATACTGATCTTGGAAACTTGATCAAATAAGTGAACAAGCACCACAATAATGTGAAAATTTACTTTAATAGATGCATTACGTATACCATTTAATAAAGGATGTATCTTTTATGGTGATCAAAACTCCATTGAAGTGAATAGCAAATAATGACAATAGCATGATTATTAATTGGTACATTTATAAGATAATTACCTAGCTGTTCATACGACATAAAACACAAACATACAAACAGACAGACACGCAACAAATATTTATAAGGCTGGATGCCTACAGATATTCTCATCCACCTTAGCATTTATTAACACAATAAACGAACATAATGAGACTCGGAAGTATGTTATAAAGTCTTTAATATATATATTTTTTAAATATGTCAAAAACTATTGGATGTTCACTGATGCAGATGTGCAGAACAATTGCATTTGATTAAAAAAAATGGAGAAAGTTTACTTTTTGTCATGAATAACCTTGAACTTACATTGCACTCAAGTTTTTTCTTGGTCATTTGCGTCCCTAATGACTTCTACATTACATTTTCTTTCTTTATCTTTACTGTTCGTCATCTTTCACCTTGTTATGTTCGTTATTATATTGATGTTAATAGTGCTTTGACAGTAAGTGTAAGTCTGTAGTGTTTGTAAATATCATAAAGGTTGGTTGTTCGATAAACCACAGGGCAGTTGGAATACAGTCTCAGAAAACTAACCAGTCGTCTGCAGAGGGTCCAGAACACTGCAGCACGGCTTGTTACTCGTATTCGAAAGAGAGAGCACATCACACCTGCGGTTTATTCGTTGCACTTGTTACCTGTACGATACTGGTCGCAGTACAAAATTCTGGTATACACATACAAGGCACTGAATGGAACAGCTCCTCAGTACCTACAGGAGCTTGTTACCCTGTATCAGCCGTCAAGATCACTGCAGTCTGAGGCAGAATCTTTGTTGTGTGTCCCAAAATCTCGAACTGTGACCTACGGAAACAGATGTTTTGGGAGGGTTTCGGCTACGTTGTGGAATAGCTTACCATCTGCTATTAGGAAGTCAAATACCCTGGCCAAGTTCAAGAGGGACATAAAAACTCACCTCTTCACGTCTGCATTTTAAAATCTTTGCAAAGACGTCATAGAAATACCACCATTTTATTTGTTCAATTATGTGCACATTGCTTGTTAAATGTATGAAAGTGATTGCAAGCCTTTGTTGTTTGTTTTCACAATTATAACCATTACTATTATCCATATGTTGTAAAGCGCCTTAGAGTAATTTTATATTATTTGTGAACTGTAAGATCGGGTTCCTTCCATGTGTGGAGTGGAATAAAATATTGTAATGTTGACTCTGTATACATTATATATGACTGCTTGTACCAAGGATAAGTCACGTGTTAAGTTTCTATTTACATAACGATTCTCAAGCAATATTCTTGATATATAGCTAACCGCTTGTATAGTTATGTATGTTTCTATATGATACTGTCTCTGTTCTGTTTAAGGGACAAAAACATGTCCCATACGGAACTAAATAAAGAGAAACATACACCAAAGCTTTTCACTCCTGCAACAATAATAGAATAGGCCGACAAGAGACCTATTATGTAATCCTGAAATCTTGAATACATTTGTATTTGCTAACACACCCAATCGTCTAGTGCAGTGCTCAAAGGTATAGCCAAACGTCAGTCAAACAGTTGGGTTAACTTCACTTTATATACGGAAAATATATACCTGGAAAATCATTGTCACGTGATATAATGGTTTATTATTGTACTGTGTTTTTACTATACACATGAAGACCTTATACAATGATAACGTTAGTGCAAAATGTAACACCCTCTTTTTTCAATGAAGTATTTTTATAATATTCATTTGCTTTTCGTTTTGTTATTCATTATAGTATATACTTACAAGAAAATTTCATTTTGAAAATATCAGTTATATAATTTTTTATACTCTCTTAATATTTCCGAAGAAAGCGTGACCTATTGAAAGTGTTTAGTTCTGCAGCACTGCAGAGGAAAACATCAAAAACCATAAATGAATTGTATGCAATACATGGTATGGAAAGGAAGGTATGATGCCTGCCGGTCCATGATAAGTCATCTTCGAAATCCAAGGATACATTTTTGAATTTTCTCATGATAGAATCGAACGCTCTAACGCTAAGCTATTTGATCGTTTTTAGACATCATAGCTAAGCGATCGCATGGCTGAAACACAGTTGTACCTGTACATTGAATATAATCAAAGAGGAACGCAAAGATTTAAACTTGTATATTTTGACCTTACATTGCCGAACGATTCTCTATTATCTTTCTTCAAAGCATTACATTGAAATTACATATATTATTAATTCATTGGCAGTTTTCTAACTGTTTACCTGTATCATACACAAGTTGGTGTGCTCAGGGATTGTCATAAGAAAATCGAAGAAGATATATTTATAAGGAGTGTTGCCCTTGGATCCTGGAAACGATACAATGTATGTGTAAGAAAGAGGAGGTTTTAAGCTAGAAACTCGGACTTTGTGACAAGTTTTTTTCCCNAGAGGAACGCAAAGATTTAAACTTGTATATTTTGACCTTACATTGCAGAACGATTCTCTATTATCTTTCTTCAAAGCATTACATTGAAAACTTACACATACATTACAATGTATGTGTAACAAAGAGGAGGTTTTAAGCAAGAAACTCGGACTTTGTGACAAGTTTGTTTTTTCATTTCAGTTAACTACTGCGCGATTGCAGGGCTCAGTATCATAGGCTGTATCCTACTGTTTTGCAATGTCATCATCGGTTTCGTGGGATGTGCTAGCACCAGACCAGGGCGTCCTACTGTTCAAAACCTGGGCGGCATTTGGTTCATTTCGGGTAAATATGATCGATCATTTAAAACATTATAATATTTCCAAAGTAAGCATGTTCTACCGTTCAAACCATATTCTATGCACCCAAGAATATGGGATAGTCAAAATTCTGGCTGACAGCTTGTTATGTGCATGTTAATATGACCGGCCGTCCAAAACTAGACTGACATGTATTTATCTGCAGGTAAATATTTCAAACTGTAGTCCTTTTAAGATGCTTTCATTCAGCTTATTATGTGCGACCGTCCAAAACACATTTGGTAGCTGTTCTTGTGCAGGTCATATGCCCTTTCTTTGTGTATGTAGCAATACATGGCCATTCGCAGTGAACACGAGTACAGATTATAATTAACTGAGGAAATATTAGCGAAACCCAAAGACAAAAGCAGTTGACGTAACTTGTCTAATCCATAAAAAAGAGTATAGGTCACATTAACATAAAATAGCATAAAGGGGGCCTAATCATAACATAAGCTAAAATATTATGTAGTTTTGAATTTGGTCATGCAGAAAACCTTGAAAACCCTGGCATCACTCATTAGTCTAGAGAATCCTAATAAATGCAGATATAAAAGAAACTCTTGATTGGCGAATCTCCTCGATCATGTCAGCTCCCTCACTACGGAACGTAATTGTTTTAATCGGGGAAAAAACACCTTACCATCATGAAATATTTCCTCATCGATTTCGATTTATGTTTTAACGACCAAAAAGAGTATGTGGGCAACATCACCTAGTATTTGTTCTACTAGCATTGTGATGAGTGATGATGGAAAATTATGATTTTTTATTTACAGCAAAAGGTGCTTGTATCTGCGTTTACCATTTCTCCAAGACGTATTTTACTAATTCGTTTTATAGCAAGTTGAAATGAAATGTGTCGAAAACCCGATTGACTGAGAAATGTTGTCTTTATCGCACATTAACGGATATAACTACACGTTGTCGGCTCTGTCCACTGAAAAAATGTCGCCGATATTCTCTTGTAGTCATGCATTACATGTCAATTACAATCTGTAAGGTGGATTATTGTAATACGTAACACGTTTTATCTGTAGGTGCGTTATCACCTATGCATTCAACGCCCACAATCTTTAAACATTTAAAGGGACATTGCAAACTAATACTTGAGTACGCGGATGGATGATTTTTATTATTTTTTGGTAAAGATACCAAAACCATTCGTCAGCTGTTTTCTATAGCAATGACGTCACAGGTGAAATTCTTTGTTAGCATAAAGGTCAATTGTACAGTGCAACAGGTATCAGTGTTCACTTGGCTACAGACCATAGCCTGGACGTCCTTTAATGACCATAGCTGTTCGAAGGACGTAAATCACTAAGAAACCAAACCATTCTAACGAGATTTTTTGACGAGATAATTTTTTTTTAACGGAAACAATGAAAATGTAAAAGTTAAAAAAAACCGTTGAATATGTTTTATCAACACCAGAACACGATACTTCCATCCACGCAATGATCTTTGGTTATGATCTTGAGGGGACGGTCGCTTTTTAACGTTTCCCTCCACTTTTCTTTTCTCTTCTTTGTAATGTTGTGTTCATCCTGAATAGAACTCGGCTGTGTCCATATCTATTAAATGCTTAACTTTGACCGTACAAAAATGTAGGCATGTAGATCGATCAGAGAGAAATGTTCTGAAGATGCATATGTAACCGTTACAATATATTACTGCTTTTATTTCTCTCTCTCTTTTTTACCTATATATATATATGACCTTAACCTTTGTCCTATGACCTTGACCGTGTTCCTGTGTGAAGTCGTCGATGCCCTCTATTCTATAATGAATTATGATAGTATTGGTTAAAGTGAAACAAAAATAAATATTAATGTACTGAATATCACATGTTGAATTTTGACCAAAACTTTAACCTTGAATGAAGAACAAGGTCATTTCTTATTAATTACCTTTAAAGCACAATATCAGGGCGAATGACAATGCAACATCAAACATCAAGACTTCATGGCGTTTGGTCCTCGGGGAGTACAGTTTTTAAACATAACTTTAGTTGACCTTTCACTTTGAACTGATGACAAACATGGTATACCAGAACTATAAAATACCAAATGGTGAAATATTTACATCAAAGGTTTTTAGAGATAACGCGGTTTGAAAATTGTCCAATAAGGGACCGTTGTGGCCATCTTGAACGTTAAAGGTAATTCCTGTCCATTTACTTTTTAGACATGAAATCAGGCTAGTGGCAGACTAAATATTAAGACTAATTACCGCCTGGTGCACGAAGAATAGGTACTAAATTATCACATCATAAAGACCAATTAAAAATGTGGTATACCTTGAAGTATATAGAAATTGTTTTGAGATTTTCATTTTTCTATTATACCATCGCGTGACCTTGTAATTGACATATTTTCTTATAACACGTAATGGGTAAAAAATAGCCCCGACCAAGATATTTAAAATATCATGTTTACAAATCAATGAATGGTTTTGGAGTTAACATTACTGTTACATTTTCTAATATTGTTTTATTTATAAATCTGTGCCCTTAACCTTTGACTTTCAGAATAATTATTCATGCGGTTACTAATTATCATAATGTTTTATCTTCATCAGCCGGCTGCATTATCGCCGCAGTGGTTTGGTTTTACATCACTCAATACCATGACACGCTTACATCGCTGTCATCGACCTCGCTAAAAATCAAGCTTGGCTATTCCTTCTACCTAGGCGCCGTGGCGAGTGGAGGCACACTTATTGCCGCTATAACCATGTGTGTGACAGCTAATAAAATGGACGTCCCAGTTGCACAACAGGGACCCACGGGATATCCACAACCAGGATTTCCGCAACCAGGATACCCACAGCATGGAAACCCACATCCAGGATACCCACAGCATGGAAACCCACATCCAGGATACCCACAGCATGGACACTCACAACCAGGATACCCACAGCATGGACACTCACAACCAGGATACCCACAGCATGGACACTCACAACCAGGATACCCACAGCCTGGACACTCACAACCAGGATACCCACAGCCTGGAAACCCATAAACCGGAGTCGGATATGAGGAAACAGTCTTTCATAACTACATCTATCACCATTCTATAGTGACACTTTACCAATAATGGCCTACAGTTAAAAAAGTACGATACTTACGCTTTAACACATGACCTTGCTGTTTTAATGCAATTTTTGAAAACTGTAGAAGGTTGTTTTCTTATTTCTGTTTGATTTTTGTGTGAAAATTTCCACATTTGGACTATTTTGACTAGTCCACATTAGATTCTTTAAAACAACATCCAGGTATTCATACCAACGTGCTGATGCTTCCATGTAAACAATACTAGCGACATTGTTGTACAGTGTGTCATAATGTCTTCGCATGCATATTAAGCGAAATTAGTCGGAAAAAGTATATTTTGATGGTGCTTTATATTTTATAGATAGTAACACTGCTGATATACGTAACATGTTTACGATAAAATGCATAAACAAATAGGTCAACAATAGTTCAACATCATATTTTCCATTAAAGACTTTGTTTTATTGATTAACAAATGTAGGATTAGATCAAACCGGTTTTTTGTTCATTTTTTTTCTCACCAAAAAGGTGTTTTATTGATATAAAGAGAAAGTAGGACCTACAAGATATAAAAAAGCAAATGATGAAACAGTCTATTTAAAAACAATTGCAATGAGTGCTGTATTTAAGTAGTGGTATTTTACCGGTGTCACCTCCACACATTTTGTGGAGGGATGTGGAGGGATTATGTATGATGCAATAGTGCATGTATGACACAATAGGGGAGGGTAAAACCCATGGAATGTGTGGAGGTGACGCCGGTATAATAGACCTTTAACCTAGATATGCAATAGAATGTATGACACACAATAGGAAAGAATGTGTGGAGGGATTATATCACATAATATATGCAGAGGTAAAATGCTTTAGGCGATAATGCAATACACATCACAATAAGTGTGGAGGGATTAATGTACAACACAAAAGGAAAGATTAATGTGCAACACAATAGGAAAGAATGTGTGGAGGGATTAATATGTGAAGAAAAATAGGCGATAATGCAATACACATCACAACAAGTGTGGAGGGATCATGCAAGACTGAACATGCCTACGGTAAAACTTACATAGATTTAAAAATAACCTTTTGCATATGTAAAGGGTAGCCTTCTATACACAGTCCAGGAAGAAAGAATGTGTGGAGGGATAATGTCACACTTCTATACACAGCGAGTTGAAATAGCAATGATGTAACCTGAGGTGTATATAAGGTAAACATTTGGAGTCTGCACAAATGGCACAAGAGATTATCAACCGTATAATTAAGGAAGATATTACTCTGACAAGTATATCACAGAGTAAGGTAGACTGTCGCCTTGGAATTACACAAGAAGTCATCGTGAAAAAAAGTCAAAGGTGATTCAAAGTTAAAAATAAAGTTATGATTTGTAAAGATAAGCTACCAATTAGTGATATCACTTTGTAGAGGTACACTTAACAGGTTGTTATTGAAAGACTCGGCTATCTCCACTGTAAAACCCACATCGACTCAACAATGACATAGGAATAACAATACCTAGCCTCAAGGTATCTGAAGATCCAGTATACTGTTTATATATACGTATATACGTAAGCTTTAAATCATTGAAGTATGCAACAGATTTAATAAAATCTTGCATATCCACCCATCCTTCATACACATTCTACATATATACATAAATTTCAACACTTTTCATATTCGCACAATTTAGAAACAAGCAAACACCAAGTTAAATTTCAAATATAACAAATTTATTAACCAACAAAATATATACATCTTAATTGTCAATAAAACCATAGTATATCACTTCAAATTGGATTTCTTCATCATAATGTTTATTATTTGACACAACCATTGCACAAGTTTACAATCAAAAACGTTTGATAATACTTATCAGAGGTAATGCATAATCATTTGATAAAAGATTTCTTTCAAAAATATGTAGCACCTATTTGCAAAAGTTTACAATAAAATATTGATACAAAGTTGACAATTTTTAAGCAATGATTTTATTCTAAAATGTTTCTCATTTTTAATCAGAATACCCTTTTTAATATACACCCCACAAGAATTGCATAGGATGAGGTAGCTGTTGAATATTTTTAAAAAAACGAGTATTTTCAATAAAGTAAAAACCAAGATGTGGCATTGACACAACGTTTGCAAAAGTATGGCATTTTAAAATTTCAACATAAGGAATGTAAAACATTTTGTTAGGTAATACATTTTTGAGTATTTCAGTAAACAAACATATGTAATGCAAGATATATTTTCTAGTCTTTTCAAGTAAACTGATATGAGTACACGTTTTTTCTTATTTTATAAGAAAAAGATTTCAAATAAAAATATTCAACAAATATTAAATCATCAAATATATACACCATCGATTCTGATCACATAAGTTTTACATCATGTTTTAATTAAGTATACAAATAAAACTGTAAAATCAACAAAAATATATACACAACATTTTGTAGTCATAGACAAGATATACATAGATCAAGATAGTCTTTGAGTATTTAAAAAACAAGTATTGTCAAAAAAGTGAAAACCAAGGTTTGGAATGGTTAAACATTTTTCATCAATTTCCATAAAATGTTTTAAAATAAAACTTTAAATACATGTGACTCAAACTCTGTAATCATATTAGTGTAAGGAATGAAATTAAGTTTGTCAAAGTATACAACCTTCCAACCTATACTGTTAAAGACATAACAATGTTAATATAAAAGTAAAACTTTAAAACCAAGAAATATATTCACATCATTTAGCATTCACAGACAAGATATGCATAGAACGAGGTAGTTTTTGAGCATTTAAAAAACAAGTATTGTCAAAAAAGTAAAAACCAAGATTCGGAACGGTTAATTTTTTTCATCAATTTGCATAAAATGGTTTAAAATAAAACTTTACAAACTTTTTGATGATTCGACTAGAAATTTACATAAAAGCAATAAATGGTTTAAGGAATAAAGATAGGCCAACCAAATTAAATAAATTCCAAATATAAATCTTTCTCAAGTTATGTTTGTAAAAACTTAACAATGTTAGATAAAAATAATCACAAGACTTTTATAATCAAGAGATATAAACACAACATTTTGTAGCATAAACAGACTTGCACAGTGTGAGGTGGATCATGGGAATGAGTTCTAAAAAGTTTTTTTTATCATTTAGTTATCATAAAATGTTTCAAAATTTAACTTTAAACACAAGTATAGTGGATTAAGTAAATGGGATTAATTATACAATGATTTAAAATAAAACTTTTGATATATAGATAGTTGATTCAAGTACATAGTGTTCACTCAGCTTTTACTACAAATAAACAACATCTGTTATACCTCAATGAAGCATCAATAGATCCAGTCTACTGAATGTAACCTTTGTCAAACAAAAATTCTAAAGATGTCTAAACTCCTAAATTACAATATAGCCTAAGGCTAAGTCTAGTACAATGTCTATTCATACCATAGTCAGAACATGTTAATGACATGGGAGTAGGCCTTCCGCGATTTTTAAGGTAATCATTGTGGTTGTTTGCTGTGTAGATATTACAAGGTACACCATTGCGATAATGAGAAGCTGATCAAGGAGGTTGGTCGTATGACTGGCATGAAATAAAAACACGAACACATAATCGAATTAGTGAGGATATTAAAAGATCTTTGGAAAGAAAAACAATTCTCCTATGACGATTCACTGCTTGATTTATTTATCGTGTTTAAAGAGCACAAAGGCGTTGATATTTCTGGATAATTTGCGATGAAAAATCATATCGAGGGGAAAGCCTATGTTTTGCAATACAATTTTTTTACAATTCAAAAGTCCAAACACACATCATTTTACGTTAACATTTTAACGTCGAGGGATAACACCAGATTGGAAGGAAATGTCTTTATTTAACAATATGTGGACTTTCATACTAACAGTAGGTGATGTAAAGATAGCGATGACTTACAATGAACTCACAAGGTCTCATAGGTATCTAAACACCCTAACAAAGAGTCGACATTGGGTGCATATATATGGAGACTACACAAATGGCTCAAGGGACTATTAATCGCATAGTCAACGACAAAATCCTTCTGACAAACATACCACACTGTATATTGTTGTCTAGGTATTAAGCAACTCTTTCCTTCAAGAAGATAGGCATGTTATGTAAGAATGGGAGGAGGGATAAAACGAAATTGGAGGGAATAGTTTTACTTAGAAATGTGTTACCTTCTTTGGTATATATAGTCATTTAACAATGTCAGGTAATTAAGTTAACTGATCTAATACACAACAGCCACCATACACCCACAGGTCACTACACAAGTCAATCCCCACCAATCCAAACAACAAGATTAGTACATTCTATATACAACAAACCTAAGATTTCCATCTCTACCTACAGTACTGATAAATTATCAGTTCTCTAGAAGAGTCTACACGTACACCTTCTCAGCCTGTCTGAGACAATTTCTCATTTTCGTCGTACAAGTTCAATCAAATGTTTGGAACAGTTTTTTTTTTGATTTCATATAATATATAGACTTCAAGAGACCCAGTTCAGTTGACTTTTTTATACAAAGTAACCTACAACATTTGTTTGATTTCAAGATGCCTTAAATGATCTAACTCAAATAATAGCTTTGCATAAGTCAAGTGGAATAGTTGCCAGTCTTGTACTGTCTATATTGCAAGAAAAAAGGTTAACACAATATTTGTAAACATGTATGGAACTTATAATCATCAAATAAAAACACAGTATTTGTAAAACAATTTCAATCAAGAAACGATATGGAAAAAGGTTTTTACAGTGTGTGACAAGTTTGTTTTAGTATTCATGAAGATTTACAACAACGAAAGTATTTTCAAGTTAAATTTTAACAGGTATGAGTTAAATTAAAGTATTTTGTTAAAGAAATGACACAAAAGTACTTTGACAAACAACTTTTCATTAGAGATGTTATTCAAAAGTATACTTTTTTTAAAATAAAACCTCTAACAGATGTAAAATAGTTTAAAATACACAACATTTATAAAACAATTTAAATTAGGAAACGTTATGTAAACAGGTTTTTGCATAGTATGTGACAGTTTGTTTTAGTATTCATGAAGATTTACAACAACGGAAGTCTTTTCAAGTTAAATTTTTAACAGGAATGAGTTAAATTAAAGTGTTTTGTTAAAGAAATTGACACAAAAGTATGATGACGGACATTTTATAACATATTTTTATTCAAAAGTATACCTACTTTCAAATAAACCTCTAACAGATGTGAAATAGTTTAAAATACACAACATTTATAAAACAATTTAAATCAGGAAACGTTATGTAAACAGGTTTTTGCATAGTATGTGACAGGTTGTTTTAGTATTCATGAAGATTTACAGCAATGGAAGTCTTTTCAAGTTAATTTTTTAACAGGTATGAGTTAAATTAAAGTGTTTGTTAAAGAAATTGACACAAAAGTATGATGACAGACATTTTATAACATATTTTTATTCAAAAGTATACCTACTTTCAAATAAAACCTCTGACAGATGTGAGCTAGTTTAAAATTCACAGCATTTGTAAAACCATTTTAATCAGATAACGTCATGAAAACAGGTTTTTACATAGTATGTGACTGTTTGTTTT